CAGATATGCCTGCTGCAGGTCCAGCGCGCACTTGGCCATCAGGTCGTCCAGTGCCGCCTTGGAGCGGAGGGCAATGATCTCAGCTGGTCGCTGAGTCCCCGCGTCCTTGACCGTGGCCATCTGGAAGCCGGCTCGCTGCACGTGGGCCTGAAAGTCAGCAGCCCTCGATTCATCCTCCAAAAGTCGATCGTAGACCCGAGGGTAGTGAGTGGCCAGCTTGGCCATGTTGCAGACATAAGCCACCGGACCGCGCTCAACCAAGTCGTGCAGGCCAAAGCCCCCGGTGTTGGCCCGTGTGAAGAGGCGAGCCTCAAGGAGCTGTTCCAGCGTAACGTCATGACCTTCAGCTCCAGCCGGTGCAGACAGGTTTACCTTGGCAAAAAAGGCTTTGACAAAGGTGTCCTTGCAAGCACGGTTCAAGAGCTCGGACAAGCCCGACGTGAGACTTGGGGGCAGCGTGTAGAGGTGGTTGATGAGGCTAGGCACGTACTGCATGGCCGTGAGGAGGGCCTGAAGCGAGACACCGGTCGTCAGCATGTCATTGAGCTTGCCAGCAATGTGCTTTGCCTTGTCGTTCAGCTGCTTCTTCATCCACTCGCGACGGCCAATCGGCGTTCCCAAGACCGTCATGCCCGTGTTGGCCGTCTCGCGCACGGCATCTGGCAATACAGACTTCATAGCAGTGATGGAAGCCGAATGGCGGCAAGGCATGTAGAAGCGGCTCTTACTGGGCTGCAGATGAAGGCCAGCAGACTTTGCACGAGCCTTGACAATCTCGACGTCGGCCGCCACGTCCTCCGCGGGACCCATCAGTACAATGTCGTCGAGGTACTTGATGACCTTGCAGCGGTAGTCAGTGGTGGCGTCGAGGAGACCGAGGACCTCACAGGAGTACAGGGCAAAGAAGAAGGGCGATAGCTCGTTGCCCTGCACAATGCCTTGGCCAACATCAATGTCAATCACCTTGAAGAACTTGTCGACAATGCAGTGGGTAGTGGGTCGAGCATAGTGTCGTTCAAAGGCGCGCAAGAGGCCAGGAACCTTGTCGGCCACAATCTCGTGTAGCCGTGCTCGGTCGGTGTAGTTGAAGGCACTCTTGAAATCGAGGGAGAGCATGGTCCAGCCCGGGGTAGACTCACAGGCTTGGAGCTCACCAAAGGCCATGCCAACCGCTGCTGAAATGCCGTCCTTGACTCCGACGGCCAACTCTGGACTGGCCTGTAGCAAGTGGGCAATATGGGGCTGCTGTTGCTCGAGCAGAGCGCGGTTGACAACCTTGTTGAAGATGGAATCCGTGCCCACGGGTCGAAACTTGCCATTGGCCTTCTCCAGGATAGTGTAGTTGATGGAGCAAAGGGCATGTCGAATCGACTCGGGCACGGTGTTGTTGGCAATGTGGTGAAAGATCTTGTTCAGGCAACCTGAGGACCTCCAGTG